TTTACTACTATGGCATGAATAAATTTTCAACTACTGTTGAAACATTGTTGATAATGCATTAAAAATAGCAATAGAATTATCCTATGATCTGCGGCCTCCGGGCATTTATCTGAGAGACACAAAATCACTTACTCCAAAAGATATCTGCTCCTGCAAGGTCACTGCAACCCTATTCACACAGCTCAGACCTGGGAGCAGCACGAGTGTCCTTTGACAGCTGAACAGGTAAAGAAATCGTCACAAACACACACACACACATACGCATGCACACACGCACTCTGCTCGTGTGGAATATTACTCAGCCGTTAAAAAGAAGGAAGTCCTGCCATTTTGATAGTATGGATAAACCAATCAAACATATGCTAATGAAATCACCCAGCCAGAGAAAGACCATTCCTGTATTTCACACTTATGTGGGGACTCTAAAAGAACCGAAGGCAGAGAAACAGATTACAATTGTGGTTGCTAGGGACTGGGGGTGGGGAAAATGCGGAGACATCGATTAAAGGATACAAACTTCCAAATGGAGGGTGGAGAGGTTCTGGGACCTGTGACGAGTTAACAAACTGTCTGCGCACTTGGAACTTGCAAGGACGATGGATCTCAGAGGTTCTCGCTGTAAGAGCATGAAAGGTAGTTGCTCACGTAGGGTGAAAGTTGTGTTAACCTACCAGCATGTGGCCTCTGCGTGTGACTCGGGGCTCTCCCAGCACGGCGGCTGGTGCCAAACGGAATATCCTGAGCGCCTGGAGGTAGCAGGTCAGGTCTCTGTCAAGCGTTATCCAGCACACCTTCCATCACGTGTCACTGGTGAAAAGGAATCCCCAGGCCAGGCTGGATTCCAGGGAGAGAGAAAAGGATTGAGGAAAACAGCCAGGGGTTAACGGTACCTTTGATTTTTTTAATGGAAACCTACTTGAAAGTAGCATTGTGTAAGTGTGCGACCTGCTCACTGGCGACACTTAGACGCCACCATGATTGCACTGCAGCCCTAATTAGCGCCTCTCTCACGTCCCTCTATAATGATAATTATCATTTCCTTTCCTGGTTGGGCTAATTAAGTTCTAGTCTCTTAGCAAGTTTGATGATTGTCACATGATGTTGCGGTCCCTAGTGCATGAGATCTCTCAGACTTACTACCCCCTTGCTAGTCAGCGTCCTTGAATAAGAGGGGTGTCTTCTCCTCCTCTGCCCAAATTCACGAGGCAACAGCTGTCACAGGGCACAGGCCACGTCCAGAGGCAGCACTGGGAAATCGGGGTAGACGGCCCAATGCTTTATTTTCGGTGGCTTCCCTAGCACCTAGTATAGCATCCAAGTAATGTTTGATGACCGACTAAATGACCTGTTGGTGGCAGGGAACAGGTGGGTGGCCACCCACTGGGCTACTGGGCCATATATTGAGCATCTACCATGCCCCCAGGCATTCTGGCTCTGTGTCACTCAAGCCTCTTGTTTGCAAGCAACAGAAACTGGCTCTCTGGCTGATTAAGCAAAGATGTTTGGTGAAAACCTATTGGGGGAGAGCTTCCAGGATGGGGCCAGGAGAGACTGGATCTCCAGGGCTGGCGCACGAGGGAGATGACAGGCCAGAGGAAGCCCCCACTGGTCTGTTCTCATCTCCTCTTCATGCAACCCCCGAGTGGCGATGGACACGTCCCTCTGTTCTGTCCTCCTCATCCTTCTCCCCCAGCTCCTGGCTCCTCCCTTTGCTCTGACTCCCTTCACCATCCCTGTCTGCTCCCCATTACATAACTGCCCCATCCCAGAAGCCCTTCTGTAACCTGAGTCACCTCATGCTCCAACCTCACAGCCCCCCCCCCCAGTCTCTCCCGTCTGGTACAACTGTTCACAGCTGGCTGGGCCAAGCATGGTGCAAGAAAGGAGAAGAACAGAAGAAAGAGAGGAGGGAAGAGGAGTGGGAGGGAGAGGCAGAGGAGGAAAAGAAAGAGAAGGAAGAGGGGAAGGAGCAGGAGGAAGGCTAGAATGGAGGAAAAAGAGGGGAGGGAGGGGGAGGAGTGACGCCTCACTCCAGCATGAGACAAGAACAGGACTGCAGGAGTGTCCTCTGCGCTGGAAGCTCTGGCCCGTGGTCAGTTGTCAGGGAACTCACATTGACTTCCTGTGCCTCGACTCTCACATCTGTGAAATGGGCATACAGATGTCCACACCCCCACATCCAGTGAGCATCATTCACAATAGCCAGTGTCCACTGAGAAATGAGCATGAGTGGATCAAGGGAGTGTGGCCTGTGCGCAGAGTGGAATAGTATGCAGCAGTGACAAAGAAGTCCTGCCGGTTGCAACGACATGGATGAAACTGCAGGGCACTGTGCTAATGAAATAAGTCACAGGAAGACAAGTACTGTGGAATCTAAACAAGCAAATAAAACTCATGGGAAAGGAGAGTAGAACGGTGGTTGCTAGGGCTGGGGGGGTGGGCGGAGGGAGCAGGGAGATGCCAGTGCATCCGATGATCAGGCAGTCACCCTGGAGGCCGCTAGAGACACCTGAGCAGACACTGAGCAGATCATCCTACTCGTGCCCAAATCCCATAGTTCACTTCATCCTTCTGTGGAGTCAAGTTGAAGTTTCAGTCATGAGGCAGTAAGCGACGGTCTGGCTTCATCCTGCCCCTGCTGCAAAGCCACCTGCCTTTGCATGCAGGGGCATTCTGTCACATTCAGGGAGTGGGCCTGGGCTCCAACACCCCCGGACGAAGCCAGGTGGCCCATGGGAATGGCCAGAGGGCTCCAGGACCCCGTCTGGCACTCACTTGGGAACCTGCCTACTTAAGCAGAGACAAAAGAGCCCTGAAAAGTCTGATCAGAGAGTAGATGACTTCAAAGTAAGAGAACAAGGCTGGAATTTAATTTTCACTTAGTCCCCAAGTAGCTGACAAACCCCGGCCTGTATGGGCCTGGGATGCAGGATGAACAACCGACATGGTTCTGTTCTCACAGAGCCACATGGGGCCGCTAACACCTCGATTAATTACAAGTGGGCACAATGGAAGGTTGGTTCCACGATCACACTAGTCAGAGAGAAAGTGCTCAAGAGGGCCCTCCTAGTGGCGCAGCGGGTTAGGACGCAGCAGGGCAAGCTGGCCACAGCCACTTCAGCGCAAGTTGGGTCCCGGGCCCGGAGCTGACCCACATGGCGCAGCAGACCTCTCCTGTCTCAGCAGTGCACTTCGTCAATCTGCCTGTTCTGCTCCCCACTCTGTCTCTGTGAATCCTCTCACTGCCCCTGCACCTCTGGCCTGTACCCCATTTCTGTCTGCATAAATAAATAAATCTTTTTTTTAAAAAAGTGCTCAAGAACCCGTTGCAGCCCGGGGCTACCATCTGGACAAAGTAAACAAGATAGGCCACTGCCAGCCCTGTAGAAAGTTCTTATTGCAGCAGCCCTGGGCTATCAGCTGAAACTGACACAACAGAGCCACACAGACGCCTTCATGTGTGTCCATGGTGGAACGGTCATGTCCTCACTGCTTTCCAGGTGAGGAATAGCGCCAGGAAGCCCCTGATTTTCACAGCCTGAAGTGCAGTGAGCACTGGGCGCTGACACTGCCCCCAGCATCGCCCAGGACTTTCTGTCCAGGTTGGGGGTGGGGGGGGACCTGAGGGACAAGGGGCTCACCTCGCAGCAAGAGATGCCAGCTTAGCCACTGGCTGAGAGGAAGTGGCCCCACAGCCACGATCTCCATGTGTAACAGGGGTGCATGATAAATAACAGCCTGTCTGGAGGGTCACAAAGCACAGAAAACACTATATAAACTTTCATGATGATCACTTTCTTCATCATTTTCATTTATCACTTGATCACAAGGGTGCTAGTCCTTGAACATTTTCAGGGGAAGGCCCTTTTCACTCACCAGTCGCCTTCATTTTCATTATTTCCTTCCCAAAGAATCATCACCCAAAGCTAAGCCGATTGTGCTAAAGTCCCTCTTTAAGGTAAGACAGGAAAGGAAATAGATCTATACCTGGAATACTCACCAACTCACAACAAGGGCTTTGCCCGCGCCAGGATCCACGTGGATCCCTTTGAAAGTATTATGTTTAATCTTCCTATCAACCCAGTAGGCATGTACTACTAAAATTATCTCCATTTTGCCAGTGAGGAAAGCCCAGCTCAGAAAAGTGAGCTTGCCCACATTCACCCAGGAAAGAAAAGGCTTATGGCGCAGTTCCACCAGATGCCACTAGGTGGCAGTGCCCATCCACTTTCCAGTTGCGCTGTTTGGGGGAACCTTGGGGAGGGGAGCGCACGCAAACCTTTACTGAGAGTCTGCTGCGTGCCAGAACAGTCCTCGGCGCTGCGGCTACTTGGGCAAATAAAACGAGGTCAATTTTCTGTCCTCAAGTTTCTCCCTTTCCGTTTTCCTTTAAAAAGTATAAACGATAGTCGCGGGGATGCGTACCCAAGGGGTCTATGTCCTGATCCTAGAGAAGTGATTTGACTGCGCGGGGGCTGCGAGGCTCGCGGGATGCTATGAGAAAATCTGGAAGGTCCGCGCTCCCCAAAGATCAGGGCTGCAACGACCCCCTAGGAGGGAGTGTTAATCTGCAAGCCACCCCTCTCCCCCTCAGCCACAGAAGGGTGGGCAGCGGGCATCCTCTCCTGTCTCATAGGATCGGAATGGAGCCGGACACGGGGTCTCGCCCTGGGAAACCAGAGTTGCATGGGAAGCGATCCCAAAAGTCTCTTTGGGGGGAGGCAACCGAGGTGACTAGTCTGAAGGTCACCGAGGGCCCCAGTCCCGTAAAGCTGCTTGAACACAACCCCAAGCCTGGGCGGGTTGATGTGGACCCGGGGCCACAGGGTGGACCAGGGGCAGCCCCAGCGCCGAGGTGGGAGGCTGCTCCCACCCCTCCTGACAGCGTGTCCCCCGCGGTCCTGTGGGCGCGCTTCCCGTTGGTACTGAGAGACTGCGGAGCGCGAGGCCACGGGGCTGGGGCCGCGGCTCCCCACGCAGTGTGGACGTGGCGAGCTGGGCGCCTCTGGAGGTACGTACGGCCTCGCGCGCACACGGCGCGGTGTGACCAAGGACGCGGTGTTGCGCTCAGGTGCGTGCAGGGGCCGTGACGCGCGGGGAAGGGGCGTCCCGGGAAGGGGCTGCAGGGGAAGTCGAGGCGCGCGCGCTGCCTGGCGGCTCAGAGGGCGCCGGTGACGAACGCGCGGCG